GTCATAGTCATAGTCATCAACCTAACCTCACTCAACTATGAATCATGGTCATAGTCATAGTCATCAACCTAACCTCACTCAACTATGAATCACAGTCAAAGTAATAGTCATCAACCTAACCTCACTCAACTATGAATCACAGTCATAGTCATGGCCATCAACCTAAACCCATGAAAGTTTAAGTGAATAGTGAATAGACTGTACGCAATCATGCATACACTTTCCTTGATAGCCAAATTTAAGGAAACAATTTTTAAGCTAACATTTTTCTTTTTTTAGATTTTTGTTGATATCTAAAAATAATACTGGGTGAATGAATAAAGAATGAATAAAATAATGGCGAACAAAGATAATCTTTCTCTCTAATGACATAAACATTCTATCCGAAAAATAAATTAATAGTTACAATTAGCATATGATAATAATGATGAACGAGCCAAAAAGAATTATGGAATTCATTTGCAAATTTTTTGGGAGTTTCTCCCTTATCGACGACAACAATGATAATTAAACTTAATTAGTATTCTATGGATGGACTGATTTCTTGTGTAATATTTTTCTTTTTTCAACCGGCAATCCTTTTTCCATTCATTTTTAGAAAAAGCCAAAAGGCAAATTAGTTTCGTTTAATTATACCGGCATATTTGTTTTGATCTAAATTTCCAAAAAAAATCAAATCAAATTGAACGAATAATTTCGGTTTTTTATGGGGAAATTCAAATTCCCTTGATTAGAACCAGTAGCGACATCTCTTGGTGATGATTCTAATCACATTTTAAAAATGATGATGATGATCATTGCTCCCGTTTAGAATGGAAAGATAACCATCATTTGAGTTTGCGAATCAGTAATATTATCCAATTCAATTCAATAATGATGGTTTGACATTTATGAACAAAAAGACAAAACTAAAACTAGCGAAACAAAAAATTCGTCATTCGAAAATGTTTCTCTGCTGTGTAATATAATCATCACTAAAAGAAACGAAACCGAAAATAGGTCTAACGAAGAAATTACTGTCGAAAAAAATAGAAATTATTGCTATTTGGAGCATTCTGTGGGCGACATTAAAAACTCGAAAAAGAAATGATGCTAATATAGAATATATAGAGAGAGATATCATTGCAATGAAAAAAAAACAACGAACCGTGACGCGACATGTGAAGATATTCGGTTGTTGGTGGTGGTGACAATCGTCTGGTTGATTATGATCATGATGGTGGTGGTGGTGGTAGAATCGACGTTGCATCCTTGATGATTATTAGTGGTATAAGAATTTCATTTCTCATAATTTACATATCAAAGAGGAAAAGAGAGAATGAATGGAAAAAATTATCATCATTCAAGTAGAATATAATAACCATCATAATTATCATCATTAAGCAAATAAAAATTCCATACAAGAATATTCTTGTTGTTGTTGATAGACCAAATTTTTTTAGTCGAGGTTATTTGCTGCTAGTTTTTTGAAGATGATATTCTTTATTCAGCAAACATGATTCTTTGAAGAATTTTTTCTATTTCTTCTTCTCCTAATGCGAACAGAATTCTTTTTCGTTTTGAAAAGAAAATTTTTTTAGTTTGATCTCGATGAAGTTGGTGATGAAAAAACGACTTGAATAAATTTCCCAATTCACATTTCCACAGTGTCGCCATTATTATCATCCTCCAAACAACATGGTCGTTTCAACAAGTTAAACAACGACAACGGAACACATGTTTTCTTTTTTATTAATGAAAGTTATCATTTTTTCTTTGATTCAATTCTAGAATTTCGTTCCATATTTTAAACCTGTGTGTGTATGTGTGTGGGTGATGATATTTTACGACGAACCGTGTTTTGATGAAGATAATTAAAACAAATGAATGAATGAATGACGATCATCATCTTGAGTACGCATCACCATGATTATCATTATTTTTTATTTCTTTTTTGTCGAAAGTAATCAAGAGTGTGTGTGAGAGAGAGGAATAAGAAAAGTGGAAAATTCTTAATTTGTAATGTGAATGTTTTTTGTTTTGTTGTTTATTATTGCTATATGCTCAAGTGATGATGATGCTTTTTAAAGTGATTTTTCTGTTGAATGAAGAAAATCTATTAAATTAATAGAAAATTTTGTTAATAGATTTTCAAAATCAAAACCATCCAGTTTATCCATCTAAACACTGATCAATGTGAAAAATTGTGTGATTCAATATTTGATTTTGTGTTCGTTCTGTTTGTCGTTTGATTGAATCATCATGTTGATCATGATGCTCATCATCAATGTTGTTGATCATCATTATCAAGAAAACGGATTTTTAAATCTGGTTTTCTCAGCCCATCACCATATCGATCACTTAAACAATTCAATCCGAAATCGAAAAACATAATCACGATATTTACAGCCTGGCATTTTGGGAATCAATTTTTGAATTAAAACAAAAAAATAACCAAAAACGAAAGCCAAAGCAAAAAATTTGATAATAGAATCTAATGACAGTCAGCTATCAGTACGATGTTGCTTCCTCATCGACCGGAGGCTTTTTTCGCCTCTTATGGCGTTGGCGAGGCAGCATTTGGAAATTATTATATAAAGAACTATTATTATTCGTTGCCGTTTATATGTGTATTGCATTTACATATGATTTTCTTATGACTGATTATTATAAAAAGTATGTTTGCCCATTTATAATGATAATTTTTCTATTCCAAATTCCTGCTTATTGATTGATAATAGTGTTTTACGACTTGTTGCCAAAACAGAACGTTTTCCATGTTCAATATGGACCATTTTCAAAAATTCAATGATTTTTGAATGAATCAGGCAAAAATTTTGCTACTTTAAGCAATCATAACATTAATTTTTTTCAACAAATTCTCATCATTCATTCATTCAATTCAAAACATACTCATTGAACAAATTTTGTTATTCGTCGAGCAAACAATTCATATATATCACACCCATTATTGTCAGAAACAAACATTATTAACAAACGAAACAAGAAAACGAAAAAACGGGGGCTAAATTTATACACGAAGATCATCATTATTATTAATTATAACATTACCAACAACAACCATATTAATAATGATGATGTTCAACATGCAAACAAACAAAAAGAAAAAAGAGATAAATCCTGATTTATTCAATTAATCTTTTTTTGTTTCAATTTTGATTCTGAATTTATCAAACAATATTCATTCAATGATAAGTTAGCATTGCAATTCAATACTGAAACATGAATGAAAGAATTGAATGTTAAACTAAATTTCAATGAATTTTTTTTTGATATAAAATAATGATGCAAAAATCGAATGAATGTCGATGAATGATAATGATGTCGTCTTAGTCGTCGTCAAGATGCTCATCATCATCAGCATCATGTCTTTGTCGATCTCCTCAAAAACATCAGCATCATCATTTCTTAGCCAATTTCGGCATTCTTCTTCTGGTTGCTGTAAATATATTCTGTGCAGACTGAATTTTATTCTTCTTTTGTCGGCTCCTTGTTCTCTCAAAAGACAAAACAAACTGACTTTCGTTTTTTCATTGAATTTAATGATAATCTTAATAAAGATGATTATTGCGCATGGTCAAATCGAATCAACAGAACGATTCAAATCGTTTTTTTTTGATTAGAAATTTCGATCACACCGATCTTATCGGTTTTTCTCATCAAACAAGTATTACTTTTAAGCAATTTTATGGATTTTTGCCGAAATGAAATGACTATGAATGAAAACTTGAGGAAATATTAAGGAGTTTAGAATAAGTAAGGTTTGGCTTTCATTCAAATGTGTAGATTCTGAAGATTTATATGTGTGAACTGGGTAAATGTCGAGTCGACAAATTTTAAATTCATTTCATTAAAAAACCGATTCAGAAATTAGCATTTTAAGAAAAAAAGCAAAAAACTTACCATAAATAAATTGATAAATCATTAATAATGTAATCATGTGATTGTCTTGATTGGTAGATACTATGAACATATCGTGATATTTTGTTCAGCATTCGTCGAAGTAATTCCATTATCATTTATACTTGGATTTTATGTATCATTTACGGCTACACGTTGGTGGCAACAATATACAGCAATTCCATGGCCAGATAAGTAAGTGGTCAATCAGTTGATTGATGATCGATCAATCGATTAATTAATTATCATCTTGTTAGATTGATGAATATCATAGCACTTTATATTCCGGGCAATGATGTTACATCTCGTGTTCTGCGTCGAACATTGATGCGTTATTTAAATTTGACATTAGTACTTGTATTACGCTCGATCAGTATTCCGGTGAAACGACGTTTTCCAACCAAAGAACATTTAGTTGAAGCCGGTTTCATGTCAAGACCAGAATTGGAAATCTATCAATCAGTACCATCACATGAATTTAATACATTTTGGATACCATGCACATGGTTTGTTAATCTATTACGCGAAGCAAAATCTGAATGTCGTATAACCGATTCCGGGGGAATAAAATTAATTATGGAAGTATGTGTTTGTCATTTTCTTTCATTCAATGTTAATGTTTCGTAATTCTGTTCACAAAGGAATTCAATGAATTTCGTAGCAAATGTGGTCTATTATGGAGCTATGATTGGGTTAGCATTCCATTAGTTTATACACAGGTATGCAATTCCAACATGAAATGAAAATAATGGAAATAATGGACTTTTCATTGGAAATAGGTAGTTACATTATCAACACAAGCATTCTTCTTGGCATCATTGTTAGGCCGTCAGCATATAAATTCAGCCAAACCACATGTTTATGGTGAATATTACATTCCAATCTTTACCATGCTACAATTTATTCTTTATATGGGATTGCTCAAAGTATGTTTCATTTTTGATTTGCATTTGATTGAATGAAATTCCATTCCAAAATGATGATCGTTTTTTCTTGTTCAATTCAAGCTTGGTGAACAATTAATCAATCCATTTGGTGATGATGATGAAGATTTTGAATTGAATTGGATTATTGATCGTCATTTAAAAGTATCGTTTTTAGGTGTTGATATTTTAAATTCTGATCCACCACCATTAATCAAGGATAATTATTTTGATGAAACTGACATTAAACTTCCATATACTGAAGCTGCTGTCGCACATAAAGTGAAAACTTATCGTGGATCTGTAGCTGCTTTTCAGTAAGTAGTTAGTTGCAGAATATCGATATATCTTTTCATTTTGTTATGCACAGTGTTCCCACAGATAAACACGGCCTGGTCATTCCAGAATTTGAAGATGAAAATGATGTGGATAGTGATGATGATCCATCCACAATACAAAGTAATCGTGATGCAGTAGCCAGAAATAATTCATGGTCATTATTTAGTCCAAGAAAACGTAAACTAAGTTCGAGTTTGGATTCATTCAATTCAGAATTGATGGTTGAAACTGGTGGACTAAGTGAAGAAAGCGAATTACCTGAACTTGTTCAAACAAATTCATCATGGCCAACATTCCTTCAATCTGAACAACAACGACACCAACAAACAACAATTATCGACAATAAAGAAATTCGGCCAACAACCACAATGAAAAGAAACACAAGTTCGGTAACATCGCTTTCATCAAAACTTAGTGTCTGGCCAATGCAAAGTACTAGTAGACATCAAGAACAACGAAAGGCCAATGAAGACACTCAAGGTATCAGGTGGTAAGAATTCGATGATCACTAAATGGGGTGCTAATAGAATTGATTACAATTTCATCAAATACTAACCATAAATCTTTAATTTTTCCCTTCCTTTTCGAAAATTGATCTCAAATCAAATTTCTTTTATTAACAACTAACAAACTTCATTTACTTATATTTCACTTACTGTTTTAATCATAATATCCAAGGAGTGAAAATGAAGGCCATAAGAATCAAGAGGAATTCAACAACGATGTTGGCGATAATAAGAATTCGAAGCAACAACAACAACAGTCAGTTGACACAGAACAACAACCAGCATTGTATAAACAATCCAGTTTATGTTCGACAACATCCGATTCATCAATTGCTATTGCAATGGGTGATACGACCTATCAATGGCCTAATCAAAATATTGCGGACAAAATTTATCGTCCTTGTCGTAAATTGCCTTTGCAGGTGTTTTCAAAGGAAATGGCCAATGCACCGGTATGTATGATATATTTGTGTTTGTTTCTGATTAAATAGCATTGTTTATTGTCATTAGATAAGTGTTTTCAATCAGATTTTAGAATCAAATTTACGACGACAATCAAAAAATTCTTCATTAAGCTCATTAGGTTCGACAACCACCACAAAAGCAGGAGACCAAATATCGATACGAACATCATTTCGACCAGTAAATCGACCGATGATAAAATCATCCCGACATGTTGATCCGAAATTGAGAATACGACCATTTCGTTCGAAAGTAACATTTAGTGATGATACTAAAAATAATGATGACAATACATTGCAAGTACGTAATGCCGGTCGAGGATTTCATCAATATCATGGCGATTCAAGTTCAGAGTCAAATTCAAGTTTGATGCGCTTTCAGCAAGATATGGCCCAACAGCCATCACAACATTCGAAATTACGTTCGAAACATACATCATCTACAGTGATTCAGGATTCTAAATCAAAAACTTTTTCCATACAAAAATCTCTACAGGATTCAGGAACATTTTTTGAAAAACGTAAACGAAGACAATCAATGGATCCTACCATATACCATCAACGTGACAAAACAATTTTACTACAAGATCCGGAAATAAATCAAGATAATTGGTTACATTATCAAAGTTTACCAAATATTCAGGAAGAAGATCAACAAATTGTAGGTTTATTAACATTGCATGATACAAATCCATCATCCACTATACCGACAGCATCCGATTCATTAGCAATTGGTGTACAAACAATACCATTACCTGATATTCGATGTCAACGATTATCGCCAACAACACAACAGCAAAAACAATCGGACAATATTCCATCATCATCAACATCATCATCGATGACAGTTAAGCAAGCTTCGGATGCATTGTTATTATCACCAGCAACATCATCATCGTCGTCGAAGACAATTCCGGAAAAACCGACAACAACATCATCATCGTGGAATTCAGCACGAAAAAAAAGCATTAAACGACAAAAAAGTCAAGAAATTCCGGATGAAGATTTAAAATTACGTCTGTCGAGTTCCCAACAAACACCAGTAAATAAAATGATAATAATCAAACAATCATCATCCGAATCACAAGGATCCAGTTCCAATTCATCAAGCAATAAAGGAATAACAATGATGCCACCACCACCTGGAATATTGAAAAAAAGAAATGAAACAATACCCATTAAACAACAAGCATCCACTGAATCGGATACAGGCAGTTATCATACAGTTCGATCGTTAATAATGAATCCGTCATCATCGATTGATTCATTTACATCGGCCGTTAGTGATCCATTGAACAATAATAACAATAACAGTAATGGTAGTAGCAGTAATGGTCAAAATGATAGTACTACTGTAACGATCAATTTGGATGATGATAATCAACAACAACAACAGCAATTCAAATCATCAACATCATTGTTGATGGAAAATCGTTTGCAACATTCATATCATTCAACAATTGAATCATCATTAGTACCGAAAATTATATTTTCACAATCAACACCTTCGGTTACATCACAATCATCGGATGATCAAAATAGTCCAAAATGGGACTCAGAAAGATACTCACAATTCTCAGAAAGTATGGAAACTGTTGTCATACAGCAACAGCAACAACATAATACTATAACAGATCCCAATCAAACACTGCGTATACAGAAAAATAATAATAATAAACAAACATCAACAACGAATAATAACTTATCATCGACGATTGAAGATGATTTAATGGCCAAATCTAATCATAAATCAGTGCCAAGTTCCTCCATAGTTTTTGATTCTGCTGCCTCATCATCATCATCATCATCATTATCATCAAATCCTCTTGAATCGTCTTTGCCAACACAGCAATCATCCTCATTAACAATAAGAAAATGTTAGAAGATAGAAACATTGAAAAAACAAAATAAACATTTTTTTGTTGTTGTTTGATTACCTCAATCCATATTGTCGAAATATGGATTAAATGTTAAATTCATTTTTAGATATTTTTTATTTGTTTTACAATTAAATTATTAATTTTTGAAGACCAAAATCTGTGTATTTTTATTATTTCAAAATAATGAAATTTCAAAAATGAAAAATTTTTGAAATTTGAAATTCGAAACAATCGCGATAGTAATCGATAGTCAGAAGAAATGTGTGTTGTTGTTGAGTCGTTCATTACAACCGAATGTTTTTTTTCGTTTGTTCGTTACAAAAATGTTTTTCAATTGATTTTTGGTTTGATTTTGTTTGAATTTAACACAGTTTTTTCATTTTGGGGAAAAACCATTTTTCTTTTTTGGTTTTTCTGTTTGTTTTTATTTTCACCTCATATTGCCATTGGCAACAACAACAAAAACAAAGAAACGAATGTCATCAACACCATTTATCCAGAAAAGTCACGAAGAAATGGTGGAAAGTCCATATTATGATGAAGATTATTCGATTGATATAAATAAAAAAATGACCGTGCCAAACAAGATTAAAGCTGTTGAAGGATCATATAATGAAATGCTTGAGGATCCAGCTATTTTAGCTATTCACGATTTAAAAGATAATGCTAAAATGATGCAAGTTCCCGAATGTATTCGTGTTGCAGGTACATTTTTCATTGGAAAATATTTATTTCATTATTTATTATTTGTTTGTCGACAAAATAGGAGGTGAATGTCATATAACAACATCACGTGAACCACCGTTGGAAATAAAATTGGAAGATAAATTATTTGGTGGTAAATCGAACCACGATGATTCTTTGATACAATTGGCAACACCGCCGCGAACACTTCGTTATGAAGATGCAGCACCAATATTTGCTGAACCTATTAAACAATTGGATAAAGCTTTAAATTCAACAACAACACCATCCAAATCGATGATTAATGATAATTCGATGATATCACGAATAAATGATTTTACAATCAAGTAAGTTTAGTTGAAGATGGTAATTTTTTATATTCATTTTATATTCCCAGTGATTTGGACGATATTGATCAACAATTATCATCAACGCAGAATTTTATTCAACTTCGTCGACGTGTTTTACAATTATCACATCGTATTGATTCATTGGAAATTGAAAATCGTCATCGCAGTAAACGTGATCTGATTGTTTATGCTGTTGGTGCATTATATCTATTATTTCGTGGTTTAAGCTGGTTTGCATCCAATAGTGGTGGTGGCAGCCGCCGTGGATTTACATTCTAACCAATGTTTTGTTATGACGAAAATTGGATACATTTTTCAGATTTCTGAATTTTGAATGAAGTTACATTGAAATTTAATGAATTTATGTCTTTTAGATTCTTTCAAAAAAAACAATTGAAACCATCATAGTTTTTGATGTAAATATCTTGATTTTTTCCGCGAATAATAAAAAATAAACTAAAAATGACAATTATTTTCGGATAATTTTTCCCTTAATATCTTTCGAATATCATAACGGGGCGGGCGACTACCATTTGACTTGATTCAGGTCAGCATTATTTATTTGGACATTTTTCGATTGGATTTGCTGGCAATTTGTTGGAATTATTTGTTTCCATTCAAATTGATTGATACCGTTAGGTTTTGTCCGTGTTGTTTGTGGGTGTTTATGTGATGTGTTTGCATTCGATTTCACAACACCGCTCCCATCATCATACCAATCAGTGAATGAGAAAAACCCATGATGGTCAACAGAAAATGGTATATTCCGTTTTGTTTGTAACAAAAATTATTTTGATTTGAAATTGAAATTTGCTCAAATTGCATTATGTTTGTCGATTGAATTGAAATATTGAATATCTGAGTGACAATCGAATAATGGCAAAAAAATCCGGTTTTGTTACCTGTGGACCAAATGAGGCATTAATTGTTTCTGGTTGTTGTCATCGTCGTCCATTGATGATACCCGGTGGTCGAGTATTTGTCTGGCCTGGTGTACAAAAAGTTCAAAGGTTTGGATAAAATTGATTTATTGATTGCATGAAATGATTGAGCATTTATTTCATCAAATAAAGAATATCATTAAATACAATGACATTGGTAATCGAAAGCCCCCGTGTTTACACACAACAAGGTGTACCAATATCGGTTACAGGTATTGCACAGGTAAAAATCCAAGGACAAAATGCCGATATGTTGCGATCAGCATGCGAACAATTTTTAGGGAAAACAGATGAAGATATTATGATTGTTGCAAGAGAAACACTTGAAGGACATCAACGTGCTATAATGGCATCGATGACTGTTGAAGAAATTTATAAAAATCGTAAAAAATTTTCCAAGAAAGTATTCGAAGTTGCATCGACCGATTTGGTGGATATGGGTCTATTAGTTGTATCGTATACGATCAAAGATATTAGCGATGAAGAAGGATATTTATTGGCATTAGGTCAAGCCAGAACAGCTGAAGTGAAACGTGATGCAAGGATTGGCGAAGCACAAGCACAACGTGATGCAACAATTAAAGAAGCTTTAGCAAACGAAGAAAAACAAACAGCAGAATTATCGAATAAAACCGAAATCGCCAAAGCATATAGGGATTTTGAATTGAAAAAAGCATTATATGATGCCGAAATTTATACGAAACAAGCTGATGCAGAATTAGCATCAGCATTACAAACGGCCATTATACAGCAGAAAATAATGGATGAAAAAATGCAGATAAAAATTATTGAAAAGAAACAAGATATCGAAATACAAAAAGAAGAAATTAAACGCCGGGAAAAAGAATTAGAAGCGACCATTATGAAAGCGGCTGATGCTGAACGTTATCGCATGGAAAAATTAGCCGAAGCAAATAAACAACGTATTCAAATGGAAACAGAAGCCGAAGCAAAAGCAATCGAATTAAAAGGTGATGCTGAAGCACAAGTAATCGATGCTAAAGCTAAAGCTGATGCAGAAATTCTAGCGCAAAAAGCTGATGCATATAAAAATTATGAAAATGCTGCCAAAATCGAAATGATTTTGAATACACTGCCAAAGGTATGTTCCATGTTTGATGAATTGACTGAATTCTCTTCATTTTTCATTTTTTCAAGGTTGCCGCTGAAATAGCCGGACCATTAGCCGAATGTAATAAAATTGTTATGGTATCGAATAGTGGTGAAATTGGTGCCGGTAAAATAACCGGTGAAGTATTGGAAATTATTACCAAAATACATTCAAGTATTGCCACAATGATACAAAGTTCATCAGCAACTGCCGCTGCCAGTGCCGCAACTTCGGGAGCTGTTGTTCATCAACAACAATCATCATCAGCCAGTACTGCAGTAGGTATTGAGAATAGAAAACGTAATTTCAGACACATTTTACAATTCTAATTCTGTATTTGTTTTCAAATTATCGCAAATCAAAAGGAACAACATGGAGGTCAACAACATTTCCAAGGCCGAGCTGAAACATCAGTCACATCCGCATCCAAGTATAAACCATTATTTTAAATCAAATCAATCTTCTTTTTGTTTCGATTTTTGTTTTTTCGTTGTGTTTGATTATCTTTGTTTCTCTATCTATCTATCTATTGATCTATCTCTGTTATATCATTTCATCATATGCCATTTGTAAAACCTTTTTCATTTGCCCTATTATTCTTTATTAGATATTATTTTCATCCATTTACAAGCCGATCACCATCACCCGGTGGATTATCATCAACATCATCGTTACGATTTTCAACAACAACGCCAACAACAAGACCGTTATAATTTGGAAAAATATTGTTCAATGTAATATTATCATCATCATTTTATTCAATTTCATCATTACCTTACTACCTTACAGTCATCATCATTTTTTTAAATTCAAAAACAAAAAATAACAAACACGGAAACCGAAAAGAAAAATATATATTTTGGATTATAATTTTTTTGTGCAATCTTCTCTTCTTCTTTTTGATCCTTTTTTTCAAAAAAACTGAATTTTCAAAACTAATTTTTTCTAATTTAGCAAATGTTTCAAAGTAAAACTTTCATTTGTTTGTTCACTTTTTTCCACGTACATTTTTACGCATATTTTCGGCACCGGATAACATTTCCCGACTTGTATCTTCTAATTGATTCAATTTTTCACCACGTTCCATGATGTCTTGCATATTTTGATGCATTGTTTGTTTTACATCATCCACTTGGCCGAATAGATTTTGCATACCAGCTGGACGTTGATATGTGGATTTTGGTAGATCCGATTGATTGGAATTGGAATTTGGTTTTTTATCATCCCTTTTTGCATAAAGAAAATTTACAAAAATGTTGCGAAAAATTTGATTGATAACTTACATTTTATTGATTTCTGAGACAAACAATTTGAGATGAGAGATGTCCTTTTTTGTGCTGTTTGTTCGAATGATGTGTCCTCCATTCCTTCCCGAAAAAAGAATTCCAAAATCAAAGTCAATTTTGACTATAATGACTATATAGACGACAATTCTTTGACAGAACTCCCTCTATATAATAATGACAAAATGCAAACATGTAAACAAAAACAACAATTTTATTATCATCGATTTTTTCAACAATTTAACAAAAACAACACTGACAAACATAACAATTTATCAAATCAATAAATTAATAAACAACACATTTGTCCATTGGGGCATTTTCCTGGTCGTCTGACAATTTCGCCACACCAATTCATACATTGATTAACAGTTGTATCACATGGTTCATCATCAATGGTATCATTAGGTTGACGATTAGAACGAAATAGTTCCATTTGATTCGATGATGGTGACATTGCAATTCCATTCACCATTTTCCAGCCAACTTTATTAATTTAAAAAAAATAAATTAATAAATTGATTTAGAAAAAAAAACAACGATAACAATCAATCACGATAATTACCATCATTGCTGCCATCAATCAATAATGATTTATTACAAATAATGATAATCAACCAAATGATCAAAGTTATTTTCATCGATTGTTGTTGATGGTTTGCCATGGTTTTCTGTTCATTCACTCACTGGATGTTATGCTATGAGTTAATTGAAAATCATCATCATACAAAAATAGCCCAATATATGAGCCTAACAATAATGAAAGGGAAGTTTATTTCTGCCCTGCAACTTTTTTTTGAAATTATCGAAAGTTTTAACGATTCGATTTCAAGTAAAAAATAAATGCTATATTTTTCTAGCAAAAAACATAACTGTAAAATGAAAAGGAAAATCAACCAAAATAAAAAAAAAGATTATTTTATGATGATCTTATTGAATGAATTAATTTGATGAAAGGTTTACTTATTTAAAACATTAAAACTTGTTTGGCCAGTTTCGTTTCGTTTGTTATCCTGTTTTTTGAGTTTTCCAATAGTAATGTTGTGGCGATCCCCTTCAACCTACTTTGGTTTAATGGTTCGATTAGTTTCAAAATCCTCATCATCATCGAATGATAATGTTACTTGATTGAAATTTTATTTTCATTTCGTTCATAATCATCAATATGGAGAGAATTAAAGAATTTTTCCTATTAATTTGGAATCTTTTGGTTGTTTATTTTGAAATTATTCGATCATGGTTTGAATCGGAGAATGAACCCCGAGATTTTTATGGAAAAGTTATTGTTCTGACTGGTAGTGCACAAGGTTTGGGTAGAGAAATGGCATTGCGATTAAATCGTCTGGGTGGCGTACGTTTAGCATTAATCGATATCGATCGTAATCGTAATGATGAATTAATTGAACGATTGAAAACTGAATCACCAAATGCTGATATTATTGGTTATGAATGTGACCTGTCCGATAGCTCGGATATAGATTTTTGTTGTGGTCAAATTCTTAAACATTTTGGACGTGTTGATATTCTGATCAGTAAGTCATAATCAATCGATTAATGGGAATTCACTAATTTGTTTCAACCAATAGACAATGCTGGAATTGTTCAATGTAAATCATTTCTTGAATTGGAAGCCAAAGACATTCGACGAACATTTGATGTGAATGTTTTTGCACATTTTTGGTTGATAAAACAATTTCTACCAGGAATGATTGATCGTGGAACTGGTCATATTGTGGCAATTGCGTCGGCATGCGGATTATCTGGCAAAGCAAATCTTGTTGATTATTGGTGAGTTTTTTCGTTTTTCATTCAAAATTTGGATACATTTTCGAATCGAATGTTCTAAAGCGCTGCAAAACATGCCGTTGTTGGAATGATGACAGCATTTGATTGTGAATTACGACAATTGAATCTTGATCAACAAATCCGGCTGACAACTGTTTGTCCGATAACAATTGCAACCGGAATGTTTCGTTATCCAACAACCCGATTCTCATCATTATTACCGATATTATCACCGGATAAAGTTGCCAAAACAATTATCGATACTATTCGAAAATCAGATCCATCATCAACATTCTTGATTACCATTCCATCATATACCTATTGGTTAATTTTGATTGAAAAGTAAGTTTTTTTGGAGAAAAAACAAAATACATTTTTCAATTTTAATTTTTTCCCTTGAAAATCGATTCAGAATGATTCCACGTAAAGCATTTGCATTTATCGATCAATATTTATCATATCAAGTGGGAAAACATTGAAAATGTTCCACTCAACAAAGACCAAAGTATCGAAATTTAAAAAAGACTTGAATTTTTATAATTATTATTATCAATTATTTACTTGTATCAACTTTGCCAAAATGGAAATGAAATGATAAAAGAATAAAAAGAAAAACAATTCACTTGTTTTGTAATGGTTTACAAAATGTGGTTAATGTGATGAATCTTGGATTTTTGTTTTTGCAAAATTGAAAACATTAATGTTTGTTTTTGTTTCGAAACGAATACAATTGGTATGTGTATGAGGGATTAATTGTGTGAAAATGACAGTTTGTTTTTGTTGAAATTTGTAAATGACGATGAAAAGAACAATGATGATTAATAGATGATGAAATGATGATGGTGCCAATACAATTTATTTAATTTGAAAAAAGAAATTTGTTTCATAATTTTGCTTTTCGATTTGGTGTCCATTGGATTCAAACAAAAATCAATGATGATCGAGGTTGATTTGAACCACCAGTTTGTTCCTGAAACACTTCTATCACATCTTCTTCTTCCATTTCCAATGATTGTGGTGTATCACTATCATCGATTCGGCGGCCATCAAATAGAAAACGTAATGATGACAATGGTACACCAACTCGATCGCTATAGGATTTTTTCAGTTTCGAAAATGATGTCGTTTTTTTTACACGAAAATGTAATTCAGTTGTATCCTGTCCGACAACTTTGATTTTAATATATTCCGGTGAACTTTCCTTTGCGTCTTCGGCCATTATATTCGATTTGGTTGTTGTTTGTATTGGTTTTTTCGATTTGGAAGAGGAAATCAACAAATGCTTGTTCGACGAGATGAACCAAGAGAGAAAAAAGAAAAAGTGTCACAATTCGATATGAGCTCGATATTGATTTTTTTAATTAAAAACAAAATCAAAAAAAAACAAAAATTAGAAACTCATTCAAGATGATGATGAAGAAAAAGTTTAACACACACAGCAACACAGCAAATTAGCAAACACACGCATACAGACACACAATGAAAAAAACAATCGATACTTTGGAACAGCGGTATCGATAGTTGTGCGTTAGTTTTTTTCAAAAAAAAAATTGAACTCATTAGAGAGAGGAAGAGGGGAAAAATGGAAAATTCTGGAATATTTTTGGCAAAAAACGAAAAATCATTTCCAACTGTAGACAATTATTTAATTTGTTAAATTTTCAATCAATTAAATTTTAACAAAAACTTAATTTTTTTTTTTTTGAAAAACAACATCCTAATTTTATTTTTTGCTTTTGGATTGTGAAACGGGGGTTAAAAAAATAGTTGAACTGCGCATGGGCGATTTTTTTGTACCTCTTAGTAACTAACTTTTTAAAACATGCCGCCATATTTTACTTCTTTTTCTTCTTCGAAGAGTAACAAACTGAAATCAGAACCCCTTACACTTACAATAATGATAGTGATACATACAATGTGGAAGCGGTATTAAAATGTGTTACGAGAAAATATACAAACATTTTCTATTATCCACCCCATCCAATGATAGCTACAATGTTGCCATCTATGGAATGGCGTTTGTAAGAAAACAAATCTATAGAAACAGGCAGGTTTGATATCCTCGAGAGAAATGGCGAGCCACAGTCATCATCATTCCAGTGTTATCACAATCAAACACCGAGCATTTTTTTTTTGATTTTTCTGTGTATAGCCTGCCTGCCTGCTTTTTTTCTTGATTTTTTCGTTGCTTCCATTGCTCGTCGTTTTTATTTTTTTTTTTGGGGTTTTGGTTTTTTTAGGAAATTTGTAATTTTTTTTTCGTTTTGGTTTGTTTGCTCGCCACACTGCGCCGCTTGCCATCCTTGTATGTTTGTTTGATTATCACTTGATCATCGTCGTCGTAGTCGGTTTTGGATTAAAACAAAATTATATTTTTTTCAAAAAAGATTTGTGTTTTGTTTGGCCAAAATTGCATCTTTCATCATTTTGGAAAAATCATTTTTTTCATTGCTTAAAACAACAACAACAGCATCCAAAATTTGGAATAAGAATAGTGTGTGTGCATCACTTGATTTTTGTTTAAATAGAATTATTCTATTGTTTTTTCGTTTTCTCGAAATTGAATAATCATCACCTGACTTGAATGAATTCATTTAGTTTCTTTTTATGCCGAACAAACAAAAAATCATCGGATTCTGTTTGTTGAATGTGTATTGATGTTCAACATTGGTGTGTTAACCCTTTCAGTTAATCTTGCAATCTGTTTGTCGAAAAGCTAAATGTGTGTGTTGTGTGTATTGAACGTTATGTTGCATTCATCATTTTCAATTATCGATTCTCGGAATTTGAACGAACGATAAAATTGGTGATGTTCAAGATTTAATCATCGTTTTCTTTTTGATGGTATGTCCACAATCATCTTTTCGTTTTTGATTTTTTTCCACTCTATCTAATTATTCCAATGGAAATTATCAGAATTCAAGTAAAGAATTTTCAAAAACAAAAAATTCTTGAGATATTTTTTGTGCATAGATTTTATGAATGGTCCTTTCGTTAGGATTATTTTGAGTCGCCCCAACCAACAACGTCAACGGTTCACACAAATGATTTTGTTTGGCTATTAAACAATGGCGGTTATTTTGAATTCGACCAATAGCAGTTTATGTTACCGCCCATTATTTTTCTCATTACGTGCTTTACACGTTTTTTCGTTCGATACTGATGATAAGCTATGCCGCTTGTAAAAATGAGAAAAATATTTGTTTTTTTTGCGCGGCTTTTTGATTTTTGGCGGCAAATTTTTTTCTGCTATTTTTCGTTTTGTTGTTTTGAATTAATCTTATTCAATGGAATTTTTTTTCCAAATATTTTTTCTTTTCAAAATAGATAAACGACATCTAAACGTTCAACGACCACATTATCATCATTGATTGATTGATTATCGATGAGCCGATGAAATCAATCAAATAAAAACTTTGATTATTGTAGAAAAATTATAGTCATATTTATATTTTGAAAAAAACAAAACAAACAAAATGTTCTATTCGGTATTTGTATTGGGTAAAAAAGGCCCATTAGCACGTGTTTGGTTGGCAGCACATTGGGATAAAAAAATAACAAAAGCACAAATTCTTGAAACAAATATCGTCGAAAGTGTTGATTCAATACTTCAGCCAAAAGTAAGTTTTTTTTTGAGAAAATTGATTTTTACTTACTTTTTCAAAATGATTTTCCCGAAAAGATAAAATTATCATTACGAACATCGTCCCATTTGTTGCTTGGTATTGTACGAATATATTCACGCAAAGCATTATATCTGCTACAAGATTGTCAAGATGCTGCATTCAAAATTAAATCAGCATTTCGACCGGGTGTTGTCGATCTACCGGATGGTAAAACTGAAGCTGCAATCAGTGCAATTACATTGCCCGAAATGTTTGATTTTATTAATGATTTTGATTTGATGGCCGAACCACAATTACATTTGGAAACAACACCAACAACAACAGCCAATATTCGCAATATTACATTGGTTGAGGATATTAGTTCGATACATGTTGATGATCCATTAATGATGAATGATGTTCGCGATTGGAGTGAAATTGGTTCGATTGGTGGCGGATCGATCAATATCAAAGATTCTACTTTAGATCATACATCATTGAATGATAGTGGCATATCATTGAAAAATAACAATAACATCGATCTCTTTGATCGTCCTGCATTGGATGATGGTTTTGGCGGCCAACTTGGTGTCGGTATTGTTGATGATGTTGATGCAGATGATGTATTCAATATGCCAATGCCCGATAATCTAAATAAAAATGATTTGAATATGGAAAATGGTTTGGATGGAAATAAAGACGCTTTGAACAACATTGAAAATGGTGGCCAATCGCAACATGAACAGCCGGAAAGACCACATTCAGTCATGTCGGATGCAAGTGATGCAGAAAGTTTTGGTGTACCCGGTTCATTTGGCGGTGCATCAAGTCCTGATTCAACATTAGGTGATGTTGATCCATTCAATTCGATTGCTGATAATACTATTGTGGGAAATCAATTGAATAATAATGATGATATAGCGAATGATGATCCAAATCAAATAATAGATCCAAAAGATGCAAATCAATTATCACAAAATACAATGATATTGGAACCAATCGACCCACAGACAGGTGTATTGGATAAAAAACGTAAACGACGAAAGAAAATTGGCATGGTTATTGATGAAGTGAAAACATTATCCGGCGAAGAAATGAAAGCACAATTATCCGATACAACAGATATTGTAACGAATTTAGATCTTGCACCACCGAATAAAATGCTAATGAATTGGAAAAAAACTGGTCTAAGTGATAAATTGTTTACATTACCTGAACGTTGCATTTCGGCTAAAGCATTGTTTCATTATTATTCAAGAAATTTAATAACAAATCGTTATGAAGAATTGAACGAAGAAGATGATCTGCTTGATGAACGTAATATTTATCCTTTGGCTGACGGTGATGAATTTGGTCGGCATCATACATTGAATGGTGATGGTATCTCGGATCCATCGATGATGATGATGATGGATCCTTTACAACCAATCAATGATGATTATCAGCAACAACAACCTGAATCACCACAACCACCAAGAACACCACGTATTTCAATGAAAAATATGCAATCACCCGCACCCTCACAACGTAAACGTAAAAAAATGGAAGACAAGGAAAATAAAGATATTGGTATCTCAAATAAAAGGCAACGTGAAAATTCAAAATATGATTTAAATAAATTGAATCATTCGGGAACTGATGCTGAGAGAACATCAGCTGTAATAGATTCAAGTAATTTATTAAATGATAATAGTTCAATACCTGGATTTCGTGATCATACTTCCAATGATTTACACGGTGTTGATGGTGGCAGCTATCAAATGGATCATATTGATAAAAATTTTTTGCCACAAGATCAACAATCCGACGAAGAACGTGATGAAGAAGAAGAGGACGATATTTTTGACTATGCTGCACCAATGTCTGTTGGACCGGTATGTTGTTTAACTTTTGTTTGTTATTTTGTTCAAAAATAAAACTTTTCATCCATTTCAGGCCGAAGAAATGTTACCAGATGAAACAATTGATCAATATGAAGAACGTATACGAACAAAACGTTCGAATTTATTACTAAAATATATGGCCGTACAATTGGATGATAATGGTCATATACAATTTACTAATCTAGTTCGTAATAATAAACGAAAATTGGTTAGTATTCAAAATGAATGAATCTTTGTTGGTGAAATTGATTAATCTTTTTTTGTTGTTAACATAGGTTGCACAAAAATTTTATGCATTATTAGTTTTGAAAAAACAAATGGCCATTGAATTATATCAAAATGCTGAAATGCCATATTCCGAATTGAATATAACAAAAGGACTAAAATATGATGAACATATGGTATCGACGACAGTATCATGATCAATCTGATGGCGAACATGGATCTTCCTTTCATTTCTTTTATATTGAATATATTTATTTATTTGTGCTGAGAATGACACGAATACGATTTATTAATTATTATTAATCAATGGCAACAACATCATCATCGTAATCATCTCATTACATTTTTTGCATTTTCAATTGACAATTTTTTCTTCAATATCATATGATATTCCATACAAACAAAGATATAATTATTATTGTGACATTTGACACATGACAATTTTTTCTTATCGCTGCTACATTGTTGCATCACACACACCCACATCGAATATATTCTCATCATTCATATTAATTGATTGAAATTTTTGAACATCATCTATCTAGATTGGCACAAATCCTATTTGAAATTGAATAAAACTTGTAACAGGAATACAATTTTTGTAAATACATTCACACACTATTCATTAGCTGGTAAGCAGCAGATAATTATTATCATTTTTAAAAAACATTGATTATGGATTTTTAAAGAAAATATAATTATTATTTATAATTCTTTATTTGTATTAATCAATTGTAATTTCATCATCATAATTTGATTAAAAATTAATCCCAAATAACGTACAATGTAAAGTGTTTCCTCCAAAAAAATAATCCATTCAATTCGATACTATCGATTATAGTGATGATGGTATCACAGATGTCAATATTTTTTGTTTTGTTTTATTAGCGACCAAAAAAATAATAATTTCTTATTGAAAATGCAATTATGATGATGGATTCGATTTTGACGCCCAATCAAGTTGAAGTATCGATTTTAGCTTTTGCCGGTGCAAGGGATTTATTATTACAACAACATTCAAGGGTCAATGAATCTTCGAATGATCAATCGAATAATGGTGGTGAAATACGATTAACATTGCAATCATCGTGGCCACGAGCATATGATTTACGAAAATTTTTATGCCAAATAAAGTGGCCACAACTCCAACCAATTGAACAAACTATCGCTATAGCATTGAATCTAAAATATTTATCGTTAAATGAATCGGTAGAAATTAATTCCGGTGATACGATTGCATTGATACCACCGATTTCGGGTGGATGAATGAACTCTTTTCACATTTTGGGTATGTATTTTGTTGTTGTTGCAAAATTTGTCCTATCATTGTCGTTTGTTGTTTAGGTGAAGAAAAAACTATCGAAAAATTTATATTTTTTCATTTCGTTTTTTTCGTGGATGTCAAGAATAAAAAATTTGCCTGAAAAAGTTTTCAATTTGATTTGTTTATTTTCGGAAAAAACAAAATTTAAATTTCAAGCCAAAAAAATAAACGTTTGATCGATTGATTTTTTCGAATGAAGACCAAAAAAACATGTGGAATTTTCATCAAAAAACCTATCTATAGATTGACATTGCATAACATAACTTCATTGCACCATTTTTCATTTTAACCATTCAATGGTGCCAGAAAACTGTTATTTACACAAACTTGACTAAACAATATTGATTCTCAAATTTCTTCAAATTTATGACGGGTAATAAAACGGAATGTTGAATATCATGAATATGATGATTACCCGAATGATTACCCGCATCATCATCATCATCGGATATCCAATATAATGAAAAAGAAAATAAAACCGGGTTTGTTTTCTTTTTCGTTTCTCGGATTATATCCAATGTTAATGTTAATGATGATGACTTATGAAGCTGCATCAGGTTTGAGAGTCGACTCTTCAACGACGACGACGACGAGTTTTTTTGTTGTTGTTTTCAATTTCGTATGAATGGAATATATATCACCAATGATGGCCGCCAAAATTTAATGATATTTTTTCTGTTGTTGTTGATAAACTACGGCGTCGGCGTCATCATCGTTGCCATCAACAATTTGGCTATATTTTTTTCGACGACGACAAACAACGAACGCCCGGCGTCATCATCATCATTGCCATTGCACCAAAATAAAACAGGCAAACTCGGGCAACATGACTCGAAATTTCACTAAAGAATTTTTTTCGCCTATCATTGAAATGAATCTTCATTTTATTTATTTATTTCGGTTGATGGAATTGGATTCGGCGCAACGATTGTTTTGTTGTTGATTTTGGCCAACAGTTGCGAATATTGCGATATTGTAATGCTGTGTGTTTGTGTTTACTGTTTGTTTGAATCATTTCATCGAAAACAACCAAACGAACCAATGATTATATCTTTGACATTATTTGTCAATTGATTGGTTGGTTATGTTGTCAAAAAACATTGGAGCATCATCATCATTATCAAAAAGCCGCATCATCTTTTTCATCTCAATTCATAACATAACATCCAATCACCACACAAAGCATCAGCAACAGAATTCATATTTCAATTTTGTTTTTCCATCAAATTTGTCAATGTTTTCGGGTGGTTGTTAGCAAAAGACAAAACTAGAAAGGAGAACAAGAGGGAGAGAGACAGAGAGAACGAAACATAACAAAACTTGAATATATCTTCTGTTTGTGGTGTGGTGTGTTTATGTGGTTAATATTCAAAAGCGAAACGAAGAGAGAGCATTGAAAAAAGCCCAGTTTACCATTGGATTCACCATAGTTTCAATGGCGAAATGAAAAATATTGTGAAAAGTTTTGTTTTGTTTTGTTTCTATCCATGTATGTGATTTTTTTGTTTTTAAAATGTGAAATGATCACTGTGAATTTTGTTGATTTGATTTGAACATTTATCGATGAATAATTGTTATAATTCATAAATATCATCATCAGCTTAATCGATCGAGCTTATTTTGCAAATCAATTGAAAAAGAAACAAGGTAAATTTTGATTACCATCATTATTATTATTAATTGATTGATTTGCTAATTGAATTTGAATTTTGATTTTGGTTTTTTCCTTTTGATGTTTTTTGATTAGGTATAGTTGATGACAAACATCCTACATCATTCGTCATAACTTTACTATTTATTTTCAATTTCATTGATTGATTGAAAGGAAATCGATTGCAATTAATTGGGAAAAAAATATTTGAAATGATCATCATCATCAATAGTGTTGACAAACAACAACAATGAATGTACTTTATATCAAATTCAATTCGAAATGATATAAAACAACAGAATACAATCATTATCGTTAACAATGACAACGACAGAACAATTTCAAGGGAAACAAGTTTCAACAACGTATTTATTAATATTGTTTTTGTTGTTCAACCAAAAATGACCAAACTTGGATTTCAGACATTTTTTTCTCAAGAAAAATTTATTGAATATCTTCATTTGAAGAAGATTTTTTTTCAATAAATTATCATTGTCTTTGTCATATCCTACACATAACCATTACATAAATTATTATCATCATCCTGGTGGTAAAATTTGATTTTCAGTATTTTCATTTTTCCTCTCTTTACATTGCTACATCAGATTTGATTCGATTCAAGCTAACTAAGCAAAGCTAGTTGCTGTTTGACGTATTTGTGATCATCATTCACATTGGATTATTTTTTCAAAAAAAAAATCCAATTCCTAATCTGGTTTTGTTTTGTTGTTGATTTTTTGAATTTGAATTTTTTTCTGCAAATTCATCATCATCATCCAAACCGTCGACAACCGAAAAAAGAAAACGACGCCATCAACATTCATTTATCGTTTGAGTGAAAAAAGGTAAAATTCTTTGTCTAGTTTTTTTCATTGAACAAAGTCAATTTGATTTTTTGTTTTGTTTTTTTCATTATTCAAAATTATTATGAATTGATTTTGGGATGGGCTTGAAAATTCCTTTTCCCATAGTGAATATTCATTATTGTAAATTATAGAATATTCTAGAATTATAGATTTTATTAAATTCTTTATTCTTCCGTTTATCATTTGTTATTTGTTATTATTAAAGGTATGTTTGTAAAGATATATTCTTGTTGAATTTTCTACCTTTACCATTCGATTGATTGATTGGACATTTTTTTGATATTCAAAACATTATTATTATTATCATTTTTTGTGTAGCCATCATAATCATTTATGATTATAATGATGATGATGAGAATTATTTTTTTCAAACCAAAATTTTGCTACACCCAAATTTCAAACACACATGATCGTTTTGTGTGTGTGTTTCTCTGCCTGTTTGCTACAATATCTGCCAAGTCATGTTTCAAGTTTTTTGTTGTTGGTTGAAATGATTATTATACAGGAACGAAATGAAAAAAAATACAAATTTGAAAGTTAAATAAATAAAAATGAAAAATCATCATTGTAACAGTTTTTTTCTTGCTGCTGGTCAAATAATGATGATGACTTTTTCATTTGTACAAACATTCCAGAATTATATCTTGATAATGATGTTCAACAGCGACAACAGAAAAACTGATGGCTTTTGTCAATTTTTCATTATTGAAATTCTTTATTGATGATTATTATGTAAATGATGTTGTTGTTGTTGGAATTTATCATAATAAATTCTCATTATTTTGGGGAGGGTAGCAATCATGAATTTTCCTTGAAAAAAGAAAAGAATTTCTTTGGAGAATTTTTCCCAATTGCAATATAAAATCGCAAGGTCAAAAAGACAATTCTGTGCAACAACAACAACTAGAAAAGTATTTCTCTATGGATACCACCATTGATTAATTAATTGTATTTTTTGTTAATTCTTTTTTAATCAACCAACCAAGCTGACAACAGCAGGGGCAACAAAACGGAAAAAATCAATCGAATGTGTTGATTGCTTTGCCTTGAATTTGAATTGATTTTCTTCTTTTTTTCTGCTCGATAAAGAATATCAGAATCAAATCCTTGAATCTTTTAGCTTTTTCGAATCGATCGATTTTCTGTATGATGAGTGACAAACACAATACAAATATTATATCGAGAATTTTCTTTTTGCTTTCATTTTGAAATCAATCAATCATTTCTCTTTCTCGATCCTTGAGTCACGATATAATGAATTGTTTTACTGGTTTATATCGATTTCTTCAGTCTAAATTTAGTTGATTCTTTGCTCATCGAGATCGATCGATTCTGTTTCCAGCATTTGGAACATAAGGTAAAGGTAAGACATTCATTGTCTTCCTTTTCAAATTGTCCGTGTCGATTTTTTTGTCAGTTGTTCCAGATTGGAAAAAACCTTGATGTGAAATTTTTTTCGTCAATCCAAAAAAAATTTATCTCCTGATTTCAACAAAAATCGAGGTCATCAAATCGATTTTCGTTTTTCTCATTAATTTTTAGTAATTAACCCGAATTTGTCAAAAAAATAAACAAAAGTTATCATTTTTTTCATTAAGCATCCTTTTATAAAGTTATTTGACATAGTGATGATGAAAAAGCTAGGAAGCTGACATCAAAACCTTGAAATATATTTTAGTTGTTGTTGTTTTTGCCTGTTCCCCATTTGGATGATAATTTAATTTGAACATGTTCCATATTTCTATTTAGTTTTTCCATTTGACTCTCTCCATATCAAATACTATGTATCAATCGATATGATAAATGTCTCTATCTCAGTGTGATGCATCCAACGAAATTTGATCCAGCATCGATTGTTTTCTCTCAATATTGTTTCCCAAATAATAATGATGTTTTTGATCCATGTCAAGATTTCTCCTTTTAACTTAACATTTCATTCATTTATTTGATAGATTTGAATGGATGAAATTTGATTAAAAAAAGATATGATTATATAATCATCATCATCATTGTAGCATAGTGTGTATAGTTAGATTTCATTCATTTATGTTTTTGGCCTTGTTTTGTTTATTTCTTTATCTATTATTGTTATTCGTCATTGATTTTTATAAATCTTCCTTATTTATTTATTGAAATAGTATTATCAAACAAAAAATTCAAGGTCGACTTTATTATTAAATAATTTTTCATGAGTTTTTTTTGTTGAAACTTGTTTCACAAAAAAATATTATCCATTAATTTTAGATGTTTGAATGACTGTGTTATGTTGATCGATGCCCTTTTCTTCTTATTTTTTTGCCAAATTTAACAAGCTGTTTTTTGCTTAACTGTCATATCTTAAATGCCATGTGGATACAAGTACTTAAGATAATTTTTTTTGTTACTTTAGACGAAAAAATTTAATAAAATGAATGAATGAATGAATTGTTTTTTTTTTCCTTGTTTTAACTTTTTTTCTGTCACTATGACTATGACTAATAAAGTTCACTTAGGTTAGGATGATGATCATGACTATGATTTATAGTTCACTTAGGTTAGGTTGCTTTTCTTCGGAGCCAAATTTAAGGGAAAGGACTTTTGATTCATATTTTTAATATGAGAAAGATGATATAATTTCAATCATAATGTCATTATATTGATTGTATACATTCTATTTTTTCGATTATGGCGATGATGATGAAAAACAGTTATTATTCAACAATGCCCTATATCCGATTCCACATACTTATCGATTCGAATAGTACATTGATCGATCGATAACGAATCGTGATCATGAATTAAATTATCAGGAATTTTTTCTGAATCGATTTTCAAAAACGACACTCTTTCATTAGATATAAATGAATGGTGTGACTTCACACATTGATCATACCATGAAGATAGAAAAGAAAGAAAATCTGAATAACAGAAAAAGAGAAAGAGAAACAAAATTTGAATTCACTTTCTCTATTTTTTTTTCTTTCAAGACTATATGTGTGTGTGTGTCTATATGACTCATTTCATATTTTGATTGATTGATGCAATGCGATGTGATGCTTCATCATCTTCAGCATCATCCAAACCAACCAAACCAATTTTGAAAAAATAGCAAACAAGAGATGAAATTATCCATCTATTTTGACCTTTTATTTGTTAATCATCATAGTTGCTTATGAGATGTTCAACAAATAAAAAAATTCATTTATTTATGTACTTTTGATCATTATCATCATCCGCATCATTTTTTAAAATTGAATTTTGTTTTTACTAATTAAAATCGGTGATACTTTTTTTCTGATTCATTTTATTAGTTTCATCCAACCCACATTGCAAACAACGACGACAACAACAACAATTCATCAAACAAACAAAGATCAAACACTAATTTGATTGATTGATTATTGTGTAAATTCGGACAGAAAAAAATGAAAATAATAAAGTTATTATTAAGTTTGGTTTGTTAGGTTTGTTTGAATGTCATCAATCATCATTATCAATTGACGACGACTACAATAATAAAACGAAAAAATGGCATATCATAAACAGCGACAACGAAAACAACATTCATTCGACAAAATGGATAATCATCAACTGCGATCATTATCATCATCATCGATGACCATTACGATGTTATATAAATCATCATATCGTTCAATATTCCTATCATCATCATCACTGTTATTGATATTATTTTCATCGATATTCATTCAGGTAAATGAATCAATTAATTAGATCGATTTTCTAGTCTAAATCGGTTGTTGTTATTGTTGATGATGATGTTTTGACATTGACATTGTCAATCAGAGAGAGAATGAGTTATATCCACATACAGACTTCAACCTTGAAACAAATTAATTTCAATTGCACCGCTAAAATAGGGAAATGATGGTGATGAAGAAAGAAACAACAAATTTTTTTGTGAAATGTTTCATAGAGTTTTTTCTATGTCATTCTATTTGATTAGGGCATGGCATTTTCGTTTTCGGCTTGCAAAAAAAAACACGTTTTTTCACCATAACAATTGTCGAGTTTTTTTCTTTCAATTTCTCATTCTCATTAGATAAGAAAAAATCTATCCTTTTTTCTTTCTTCAATAGATTTAAGATAAGATTTCTATAAACAATGTGATGCAATTGTTGTTGCCGTTGTCCTTGACATGTTGATCTTGATCTTTCAAAAATGTTGATGATTTCAATGTTTTTTTTTGTTTAGCCACCAATTCCTGGTTCTCTAAGATTAGCATATGATAATTAGGATGAACTTGAAGCAAATATATGATTTTAAAAGCCATGGAGAAAGTCTTTTTTTTCTGAATAATAAACAAACGAATTTAGTTCAGTTAGTTATCCGGATAAATAAAGCCAGAAAATATGTAATATTGCCAAAAAACATTGTTATTGCGTGAATATGCCATCATCTTTTTTTCTGAATCTATTTTTAGTTTTTTTTCATGTTGAAACAAACACAGACATTGAATCTAAAAATAAACATTATTATTATTATTTTCTGATATAAGTTTAATTAATCAAACAAACAAACCAAATTCATTGTTTTTGTTTCATTTATCCAAATTAGAATGCAGTTGCATTCAATGAAAATATTACCCATATCGATTCGAATAATGGAACGACGACAACATTATCTTCATTATTATCATCACCATTATCCTCTAAGAAAATGAATATTGATAATAATAATGCAACAACAACAACGTCAATGAATACAATTTCATCATCATTATCGATAGAAAATAAATTATCCCCCAATAATGATTACGATGAAAATTCAATGGAATATGATTATGAAAATTCCAATGGAAATGATATCGATGATATTGATGTGGAAAAATTTATTGTAATTCATCCGGAAATCGAACCAACATTGGAAGATTATGAAAATGGTTATTGTATATCAGATAGTCGTATGTCTTGTGGAAAAGGTGGTTTTACTGGTGATGTTGATATACCTTGTGCACGTAATACTAGGCCAGAATCATTTGAAACAATTGAAGAGCTTAATTTAATACGTGATGTTTGTCCAGAATTTTTGGAAAATCTTCAACCAGGTGAATCACCCAAACTTTGTTGTAATATGAAAGGATTACATGAACTTCGCATTAGTTATGATATGCCTAAACAAATGGGTATTAGCCGATGTCCATCTTGTTTTTACAATTTTCGCCGTTTATTTTGTAATTTTGTTTGTTCACCAAATCAGAATAAATTTTTACGTGTCGATAAAACTGAATCAGTCATGATTGCTAACCAATCGTATGAAAAAATACGTGAAATGACGCATTTTATTAATAAAAATTTTGCCGATGGTCTTTATGAATCTTGTAAAAGTAAGTTTTTATCGATAATTTGATTGATTTCTATTCATCTATTTTCATCACAGATGTTCAAGGTTTATCTGCCGGGCTTTATGCATTGGATTTAATGTGTGGTAGTCATGGGTCAAAACATTGTAATGGTCAACGATGGATCTCATTCATGGGCATTTCAGCTGATAATGGTGGTTATGCACCGATTCAAATCAATTATAAATTTACCGATGATGTTGAAAAAATATTGGTCAATAATCAAAGTGTATTTGAACCAATGAATCCTTCAATTATACCCTGTAATTCAATTCCACCTGGTATGCCATCGGATGCTATTTGTCCTTGTCAAGAATGTTCCACTTGTTTGGAATCTAAAGGACAACAACAATTAAACAGTCTTCTATCTAGACTTTCACGTTTTATTGATTTGCAAGAATATTCCTCATCATTTACTATTTATAAATTAAGTGGTTGTGCAACATTTGGTCTATTTTTATATATATTTATTGTTATTGTTGTTTTGGTTTATTTTCTAATATTCAATACAAGAGAAAAATCATCCTATGATGGTTAGTTATTTTTCCGTTGGCATTCGTTTTTTCTTGACTAATTTTTCTCTTATTTTTTTAGTTTCTGAAACCGAATTCAGTGTTGATGGTGAAAAAGTGGAAAATTCGCAACCGCACCAACAAGAAGAAACATATCTTGGTTCACCATCATCGTCAACATCAAGATCGGCAACCGGAACACCGGAATTAGAATCTGAAAAATTTGTTGATCGTATTAATCCATGTAATCAGATGGGCATTATGCAACCATTGGAACATTTACATACGGTCAATCTAGCATTGGGAATACGTTTGGAACAATTTTTTGAACAAATTTTTCGATCATGGGGTGTATTTGTTGCCCGTAATCCATGGTCAATAATAATCGGTTCGATTGTGATTAGTTTATATCTGGCTGCAGGTGTTTTTACACATTATCGAGTAACGACCGATCCGGTTGATCTATGGGTACCGGCCGGTAGTCAAGCACGTAATGATATGGAATATTTCAATGAAAAATTTTGGAAGTTTTATCGAATCGAACAGGTGATTATTGAACCAAAAAACCTACAACCATTTACAATGGCAAATTATACAAATTATGATGGTAATGCGCTCATTGAATTTGGTCCAGCATTTGAACAACAATTCATGTTACAAGCATTTGATCTCTATGATAATATTAAACATTTAACAGCTAAATATTTTGACCGAAAAAATGGCCAAAATCAAACAATACATTTAGAAGATATTTGCTATAAACCACTAAGTGTTTCTTGTGCCATGCAAAGCATTTTTACTTATTTTGGTCAGAATGTTGAACAAATTCGAAGACCTGATTATATTCGTCGTATACAGAATTGTGTTGAGTAAGTTGTTATTGGTTTTTCAATTTGATTTTGTTACATTTTCTCTCTCTTTTTTGTCCAATTAGAAATGGAATGAATCCAAAATGTTTTGGTAAAAATGATATACCATTGCCATATCCAGGCGTTGCATTGGGTGGATTTGAAAATGATCAATATTTAGAAGCAAAAGCATTGATTATAACCGTACCTGTTGTTAATCATAATGATCCAAAAGAAAATATTCCGGCAAATTTATGGGAAAAAGAATTCCTAATGTTATTGGAAAATGTAACCAAAACAAATAAATATAATCTATTGAACTTGGCTTATAAAGCTGAACGTTCAGTTGAAGATGAATTAGATCGACAAAGTCAATCTGATATTGTAACAGTTGCTGTTAGTTATCTGATAATGTTTATCTATATCTTATTAGCACTTGGTGATCTGGATAAATGTTCAACAATTCTAATGACAGCAAGATTTACATTAGGATTTGTTGGCGTTGCGGTCGTATTGTTATCAGTTTTAGCATCATTAGGTTTATTTTTTTATTTCAACATCCCAGCAACATTGATTATTGTTGAAGTGATACCATTTTTAGTTTTGGCTGTGGGTGTTGATAATATATTCATATTGGTACAATCATTTCAACGTGATAAACGTAAAGAATCGGAAACATTAGTCGATCAAATCGGAAGAGTTGTTGGTGAAATTGCACCAAGTATGTTACTGTCATCATTATCGATGAGTGCATGTTTTTTCATTGGAACACTGACCGAAATGCCTGCCGTGCGAATGTTTGCATTATATGCTGCAGTTGCATTGATAATAAATTTTTTTCTACAAATGACTTGTTTTCTTGGCTTATTTACATTGGATACCAAGCGTCAATTGGATCATCGTTTGGATATTGTTTGGTGTATAAAACAATCGAAAAAGCGTCATGAATTGGATAATTTCTCGAAAGAAAGTGTTCTATATTTGTTATTTAAAGATTTTTATTCCGAAGCACTATTACGTGATAAAGTTCGTATGATAATTCTGTTAATATTTGGTGCATGGTTTTGTTCATCGTTTGCCGTTCTGGATAAAATACATATCGGTCTGGAACAAGACCTTACAATGCCTGAAGATTCTTATATGATAAATTATTTTAATTTTTATCAAAAATATTTTGTTACTGGACCTCCAGCTTATTTTATGATTACTGAAGGATTAAATTATTCAGATCCAAAAGTTCAACGTATCCTATGTACACAGAATAAATGTGATCCAAATTCACTACCGTCAATACTGGGAATGCTGTCAAAACGACCAAATGTGTAAGTGAAAAAACACATTATTGATGAATTATTATTGATTTTTGTTTTAATTGAATTTTCAGGACTTATATACAAACCAAACCCGTATCATGGATCGATAGCTATTTTGAATATTTGGAAAGTTCAAATTGTTGTTATAAAAAATCCTATAATCAAACACATGATGAACAATGCAGTCTTGATGATCGTAAGTTTTCTGTTTTATGGATTTTTTAAAATTAATTTGGTTTTTCAAAAGGTTCCGATTGTAAAATGTGCTGGACAAAAGAAAGTTGGCCAAGTGGATCAGATTTCATTCGTTATGCACCATTCTTTTTACATCAGGCACCGGATTCGGATTGTGCTAAAGCCGGTCTTGGCCAATTTGATGATGCTGTTCGTTATGAATGGTTAGAAGATCAATATAATATCGAAATTTCAAGTATGCTTCGTTTTTCATTTTCATCGAAACAAACCGATCTGAACTGATAATTTTTTTTTAATTTTTAAAATTTAATTTTCTTAATTTCATTTCCAAACAGCAACCTATTTATCAGTTTATCGAAGCGTGCTGAAAACATCGGAAGATTTTTATGAATCATTACGTTCATCAAGAGAAATTGCTGATATTTTGACGGAAAAACTGCAAAATGCAACCGGTACCCTGGCTGTTGTTCGTCCATATAGTGTAGTGGATGTTTTCTATGAACAATATCTAACAATGTGGCCTGATACAATCAAAAGTTTAGGCATATCGATTCTGGCTATATTTATTGTTACATATTTATTTTTGGGTTTGGATTTTTATTCCGCATTGATTGTTGCCGTTACCATACTAATGATTATTGTCGATTTAATGGCAATGATGTATTGGTGGGAAATATCATTGAATGCAATATCATTAGTCAATTTAGTTGTTGTAAGTTTTTTCTCAATTTTTGCATTTGGCTTTCAAATTTAATTTGCCATTTTTCCCAAAATCAATATAGGGTGTTGGTATTTCCGTCGAATTTTGTTCACATTTGGTACGTTGTTATTCAATTTGTTCGGCACCGACACGTATACAACGTGCAAAAGAAAGTTTGGAAAAAATGGGCAGTTCAGTATGTATCTTGAATTTTTTTATGATAAGTTTCTTCAAAATCTTTTTTTATTTCAAAATTCAAATTGAACAGATTTTATCCGGAATTACATTAACTGATTGTGGTATTTTGATTCTAGCGTTCGCTAAATCAAAAATATTTCGTGTATTTTATTTCCGAATGTATTTGGGTATCATATTATTTGGTACATTACATAGCCTGATATTTTTGCCTGTATTATTATCGGTATTAGGTCCATCAATCAATAAACAACGTTTATTTTTAAATAATTTCAATAAGCATCATCATTCATCATTTCCATTTCGTAATGATAAAAATTGTGTATTAACATATTCATCATCCGCTTCATCTTCCGCATCATCATCATCAACATCATCACCGACACATACATTGAAAGCTAATCAAGAACAGCAGCAAAGAAGAATATCCAATTCATCAACAGAGTCGACAAATGCAGTATCAGCTGAACAACAATATCGACATTCAGAATTAATAACAACTACTGTTGATATGCAACAACAACAACAATCAATGAAAAATTGCCATTTTTAAGTTCAAAAAATCTTTCCTTTTTTGAAAATAGAGAATTTTGAAGCAAGTGCCATCCCATCAGAAAATACATTTCAAGTGCTAGATTGGAATGGTTTTTCTTAAATTAAACATTTCCATTAGGATTAGTTCAATTAGTCAGTCAATCAGCCACGTTTGAAACAATTCATCTCATCATTTATCATTTGGCAAATTCATATTTAATAAAAAATCTGTGATTTTGTAATTCTGATTATCATTATCAATATTTATATTTTCAAATCATTTTTTTTTTATTTTTCAATTAAAGAATATATTATTATTATCTTGCTTTTAAAAATATGTTGTAAATTCACGAAAAAATTATTATCATTATTTTTGAACTTGTATTTTTATTTTTTGTTTTGCCTGGTCTTTTCATTCATTCATTTTTGCTGTATTATTTTTCTACGAATTCAATTCATTTTTTTGATTATTGTTTTTCACACATACATTATTCCAAACAAACACACAACTTTATTGAACGAAAAGATTTATCATTTTGATAATTGCCACACACACTTTCCATCACCTCTCTTCAATTGATGAACGTGAATCTCAAAACTTTTTTTCAGGAAAAAGTTGAATTTTCATTTTCAATTTAATTTTTTGGAGAAAATATTAATAATAATAATAAACACTGACCATTTCACAGAGTTAAAAGTTCAATTCGTCAAATGTTTTTCTCCTTTCTTTTTCTCGCCTTCCACCAATGCTTTTTCTTTCAAGTTTTTAATCCATTACATAACACACAGACACACATCTCATGCATCACACAATAAATTTATTGGAAAACTTTTTTTTCTGTTGGAAAAAACTGCACAAAAATCTCATTCATTTTCTTTTCTGTTCGTTCTGTTTCAATTCTTTTCAATTCTTATTCCGTGTGATGCGAATATATAAATAAAATGAAAAAAAATTCTTCAAAATGTCTCATTTTTTTGATAGTGAGAAAAGTAAAAGAAACTTTACTTTACTTTTAAACTTTTCTGCTTCTTTGTCTGGTTTTTAAATAATGATATATTTCCGAGCAAGAAAATTTTTTTTCCGTATTTTTGGTTCAATTCCTTATCATTGATTTATATAATCTATTTTTATCAAATAAAAATTTGAAAACATGAAAATTTCAAAGTTGTTGTATAATTTGATTGTATTGTGATCAATCAATGTTCCGTAGAAATTAGTTATTGATTAAAATTGATTGATTAATTTTTTTCTCTCAGTTTTGTTATTTTTACCAAAATTTTTCAAGTGTCGGTTCTTGTTTATCCCCATTCACAAAATAAATTCCCATCATCCGATTTTCTACGATTTAAAATAGATTTTTTTCGTTGTTAAATGCGTTTGTTTCACAGAAATTTGATCCTTTTTCGTTTAGCCAAATTTGCATTTTGGAAATGTTGAATTAAAACATCAATAAATAATAAATTCATTTGACATTTTGCATTGACCGATTTTCATCTTTTATCTTTGATTTGGTTGTTTCGATTGAATCGCCGACTCAAAATTCAATTTTTGTTGTTGTTTTGTTTAGCTTAGCTGCAAAGCTTATAGCTTTTTATTTTGTTTTGTCTTTTTCCATTTGACTATTTAGCCAAATTTCTATTTTTGGATTAATTTTTGGAAATCTGAAACCGTTAAACCAAAAAAACAGAAAAAAATGTAAATATTTATTCTGACCGTATTTTTTGAAATGTTATTTGGTGGTGATGGCTCCGGATTGACATTTTCATTCGATAACCGTCGTCGAAATGGAAAATAAAATGGTCTGCCATAGTGGAAATGCGTCAAAAGTAAAAGATTCTCTTTTTCAAACATAAAATCCTATCATCGAATCAAAATTGATTTTGCTTGTCATTTTATTGATTTCATGAAATTGAACGATTTTTTTCTGCCAGTGATGAAAATTATCTTGTTTATTATAATGTGATGATGATCGGGGATTGGTGCCAAGTGATTTTTTTCGTTCACCCTTTTTTTCTTATTTGATGATGGCCATAATAATCATTAATATTATAGCCTAACAATAATAAAAACACACAGCCAGAATGTTGACTGGAAGAAAAAGAAAGAGGGAATATTCGAGAAAATTGTACGTGATGCGATAGTTAACGTTTGGTTTTTTTCTTTCTTTCTACAAAATCTATTTATCTATAACAAACTGTAATGTAATTACATAGTTAATTTTCAAATTAATTTTTAATGATTTTTATTTTATCTCTCTATGTATATGATATTAGCTTTTTCCGAGTAAAATCATTCCAATATAGTTGTGGATCATCATTGGAAAATTATTTTTTTTTTTTTTTTTGGGTTTTCGGGCGTTATTATTGTTGAAAACGAGCATTAAAATTGAAGGCGATAATTTGCTCTCATTATTATTTTTCCCCAATATCAATACTATGCCGGTTTGAAAATATGAGAATAAATATAACAATAACCTAATTTATTGCCCCTGCCCATTTTGTCAATGACAAATGAATATTATTATTCCATTCGAATCGATTCTGTTGTTTATTCTGCATTTTGTACTGGATAAATTCTGTTTAGCCTTTCTATAACCAGGCAAAGTTCGGGTCAACACCCAATTCAAAACATATTGAGTTCATTTTTGTTTTGTTTTTGTTTGTTTTTGGCAATGGATGATGATTTCATTTTTTGCTATTATTATGATTTTCAATTAGAAATTCAAAGTTATTTTTCCATTCAATTAGAATTCCATGTTTGATCAAATTCATTTTCATTTCTCTCCCAAACAAACAAACAAACAAAACAAAAAAACGTTGGATAAATGATGGATTCATTTTCTATTGCACCCATTTGTTTCGAATTTGCCCTACTAAATGTATTTAGCACAATTTTTCGTTTTTGTTTTTTGGTGATTATATAATTTGTAATTCTATCGATAACGATTCTATTTTCGAAATGTTTTTGTCTCCCATCTCCCCTCTGCGATAAGATTATGGTTCCAAAAACAGAACCAAACAAATGAGAAAAAAAAGGATCAAAAAAAATAATTCAGTGGGACGAAAAATAGAGACAAAACAAGAAAAAGAACAAGAAATTTCTTTCATTTTAATCCTTGGATTCATTTCAAATTCTTGCCATTCATATTATTAGATAAAAGAGATTGCCACCACCAACAATAACAACAATTCTAAATGATCGTCATTATTATTATTGAACGATGAATTGATTGGACAAGAATATTCTTAACAATATTCTCCGGGCAATTTTTTCGCTGTTTGACAAATTTAATGCTTTTTGTTTTCTTTATTTTTTTCATTGTACAAATATTTTACACAGAAAATCGATTTAAATGCTCGAGATGTGCGAAATGAGAAACAAAAATTGTTTTCCAATGAATTTGCTATAATATTTCTCGGATTGATTGATTTTGTTTTCGCTAGCCAAAAAAAAGTCAGGATAACTCAATAAAAACATAAATTGAAAGATTCACGTTTTTTTGGTTGTTGTTGTTGCTGATTGATTCGATGATTATCGAACACGCAATATGTTCTCGTTGGTCACGTTTCTATAGAAAATGTTTTTATCTCCAAATGAAAAAAAAATCTCTTCATTCTCAAAGAATTTTTTTGCTGAATTTCTTGGTTTTATGATTATATAATGTGATTCGATTTAATTTGAATATAAAGAATGGAATAGTTAATGCATGATTCTTGATTCTTTCCGGTTTTTTTCAGTAGTGCATGTATGCATGTATGTAATGGTCATTTGTTGTTATTTCTCCATAAACAATAGAACAAATTATATACACCATATTCTCGTGATCGTCCATTAAAATCATTATCATCATCATCATTCGCATGATAATGATAATAAAAATCATTAATGTGGTTGTCGATTTGTCGATTGTGGCAGCAGTATCAAAATGAATGAATGAAAAACCATTTTATGTATGATAACAATAAAGATAACAATAATTATTTTTATTCTTTCATTCATTGCTCGAATGATGTTTGTCTATTTTGGTGATGATTGTAAAGAAAAATTCTTTGAGCAAAAACAAAAAGAAAATCTAAAATCCCAAACAAACAAATAAACATTATTCTGATATCCAGTCATCAAAGCATCAAGTTCCAGTCATCCAATCATTTAATCACCCAAAAGAAAAGTTGGACTTTTTTTATTATATCTTTTTTTCTTTTTGGTTGTTGTTATGCACATCTCTATTTCAAATAACATACATTGCACTAGTTCATTGTGTGGGCAATATAAAGCGAAACTAGAAATTGATCACCATCATCATCATCATATCAACCGATCAATAATAAAAACATTCCATGAAAATGAAAAATGAAATGAAAGAATTTTTTCATTCCGAAATTCTTTCTTTTTTCTTTTTATTGGTGTTGAAAGATTCCAAACAATATTTAGGCAGTTGGAATGATGATTATGTGAAGATAGGACATTGAATATATTGGATTGGATGTCATGTGTTACATATGATGATTTCTTTTATTCATTCATTGTGCGTGTATGTGTCCATTATTACAAAACGTCATTATATAATTTACATAATCATCATCAGCATCATTTTGTCATCGTGGGAATCCATCTGTGATCATTAAATTCACCATTGATTATCAATTGGTGTCAGATATGGTTGCACAATACAGATGTCAAATCCATTCAAATGACAGAATCACACCTATCATATTAAAGGATTCTTTCATCAGCAATTTGTCTAGAAATAATTTTTTTCAAAAAAATTGAGAAAAATAAATCAAAAAGGAAAAAACAGACGGTTCCAATTTGTTCTTTTGAGAATCTACGCGCAATCACAAATTGAAGAAAAACCAAGGAAAACCAATGAAGATTCTCTCTATATTATTCATTGGCGCATGGTTTTTTCCAAAAAGAAAAAATCAATAGGATTTTTCTTCTGGCTATGGGCATCACAACAACAACCACCACCACCATCATATAAATACTATGGTCCTTCGGTGTTCAGAAAATTCTACACACATTAAATTCGTTGTTGAATGGCAATCATTCAAGTATCACCAGTGTAAGTGAGTTTATCTCGCCCAGAACGAATCAAAAAATGTAATCATAATTTTTTTGCGCT